GGAGTATGTGATGCTTTGTATTTGGTTTTGTATTTGTGTATTTTTATAATGTTTCAATTAGCTTAGACATCTACTTTCTTGCACATTTTTTCATTTCTTTTCCAGACCAATGAGTTCATCTTTCTATTGAACATGTTAACAATATAGATTTAGTATTAAAAAAAAAAAAAAAAAAAAAAAAAAAAGACCGAAGCCCATATCATCGTTAGACTCCTCAGATTCTTCTCTTTGCTCCTGTTTCTCAGCTGGACCAGCAGTGAAGATGGGGCATGAGCATCCACTTGCAATGACTCCCTCCAGCTGCTGGAGCAGGGCCACTAGTGCCTGCATTGCAAATGAGGCTTCCAGTGTTGACATAGGCCAGGACTTTTGCAAACAAGCAAGCCAAAAAGGCTTACCATTGACACCGGCTGCTTTAATGAGGACATTGACCTTATCCTCTGTGAGGGTCACCCCATCACTGGGTAGGAAGGGGTTGAGTAGGTGCAGGCAAACAGGGACAGTGGTTGGGAAGGCCTCATCCCAGTGTAGTGGGAGCTTCCTCAGAAAAACTGAACATTGTGGTGTCATCTCAGGAAAAGCCACTTTTTATTTTGGAGAAGATTTTAAAACTGTTTTCTTTAGCCTATTGGAATATGTATTAACAGCACAAGATTACCTCCTATGCAACATCAGAGTTCCTTCCTTCCACCAGCGAACTGAGAGCCATTGATCAACCTTTTCCATCCCTGATGGCTTAGTGTCATACTGCCAGTGTGCTAGGACCTAGCATCACCAAGGAGATAAGCCTCCAGGCATGCCTGTTACGTTACAGGAACTAACCCAGGACAGAGTATCTAAAATAAAGCACTATTTCCAAACACTAGGAAAAAAATGGTAGGTGCCGGGACCCTGTCCGCAGTGGTGTGCTAGCTATTTTGCTCACAGATGTCTGGCTGCGTTTCTGATACCCACACACACGTGACCAGATCCCACCACAACTGGAGCAAAGCCAGTTTCAAGTTTTAGGATTATTGGGACAATTATAAATTTGTTCCTTCAGCAAGGTGGTGGTGGTGCATGCCTTTAATCCCAGCACTCAGGAGGCAGAGGCAGGTGGATCTCTGTGAGTTCCAGGCCAGCCTGGTCTACAGAGTGAGTTCCAGGACATCCAGAACTGTTATACAGAGAAACTCTGTCTCAAAAAAACCAAAACAAAAGAACAACAAAAAAACCCAATAAATAAATAATAAATTTTATTCCTTCAATCTGAGGGCAGGTGTAGTGTAAGTAATGTCTGGCTAGTTTTTGGTGATGGTCTTAACAAGGAAGAAGAACTAGAAAGAGACTCAGTGGGTAGAATGTTTGCCTAGAGTGCACAAAGCCCCGGTCTCTACCCCAGCACTGCATAGCACCCTCCCATGGTAGAAGAGGGGAGAGAGGGGAGGGGGCAGGGACAGGAGGGGAGGGGAAATGAAGAGGGGAGAAGTGAAGGGGAGAAAAGGGGAGGGGAGGGGAGAGGAGGGGAGAGGAGAAGAGAAGAGCCCCTTGACCTTCATCTTGGTCTTTGGTGAGATTTTAATTTCCACCCTGTTTTGTGGTATGAAATTGAGCAGAGATGGATTCCTAGTTTTGGCAGACCCTGGAATAGGGCCTTCCAGAAGACAGGTCCACTGTCAAATTCTCTATTTCGTTTTACATAAATAAGTTTCAAAGGATAGTAACTGTCCCTGATTCATTTAAAGATATTTAATGGCAGTGACTTTAATGTCTAGCCATTTAATAGGACGCCTCCTTTTAAATTTTGAAGGAGAAATATCCCTCTAGCCCACTATAGCATCATTTTACTCAGTGGTTTTTTTCCCAGAAATTTTTTTTTGTGTGTGTGTGTGTGTGTGTGTGTGTGTGTGTGTGTGTGTGTGTCTGTCTGTCTGTGTGTGTGTGTGTGTGTTTTCTCTGCTGCTACATAATACGATTATGTAGCTTTCAATTTTATTTTATCAGTGTGATTAATTAGATTGATGGGATTCCTAATACTGAACTATCCTTACAGATCTGACATAAATTCTCTTTTTAGGTTTGTTCTTAGGCTCTTAATAGTTTTTGTTGCTATTGTGAATAGAATCTTATTTCCCATTACATTTTCTAATTGGCTATCGCTGGTATATAGGAAAGCTATTGATTTTTGTACATTGATCTTGTATGTAGTCACCTTGTTGAATTCTCTTATTAGTGGTAATAGTTTGTCGATTGATTTTCTTAGGCTTTTCTATACCCAGGAAAGCAACGCCTGCAAACCGCAGCTTCCCTCTTATGTGATGCCCGTGCCTCTTACCAGTGTCCTTCTCTGATGGAATTATCAGAACACCTGGTGCCATTTTGAGCAGTAGGGGTGGCCGAGGCCAGATCTGCCTGGTTTCTAACTTCAGCTGGAGGGCGAGAGATGTTATCTTCTCACTGTGTTACCATCAGAGGACAGCTATTCCCTTTCCAATTTGTTGGGAGATTTCTTTTCTATTATGTCACCAGTGAGAGTTGAATTTATCAAGATAGTCATTTTATGCTGAATTTATGCAACAAATAAGTTGATCTGTGGGTTGTGCGCGCGCGCGCGTGTGTGTGTGTGTGTGTGTGTGTGTGTGTGTGTGTGTGTGTGTGTGTAGTGCTGGGGATTGAGCCCAAGGCAGTGCCCATCCTAGGCAAATTCTCTACCAACAAGATATATACACAGGGCTGATACATATATTTTAATTTATTTGTGTGTGTATGTGTGTGCACATGTATTTGTTATGTGGGAGCTGGAATCCTAAACTCAGGTTCTAATGTTTGCACAGCAAGCACATTTAACTTCACTTAAATGTTTTTGTTTTACTGAGGATTGAACCAAGGGCCTTGCAAACACTGGACAACACATACTATTGATGCTCTATCCCTAGCCCTCTTTTCACTTTTTTGAATTTTGAGACAGGGTCTCACTATGCTGCCCAGGCTGGTCTTGAGCTTGGTACCACAGACAGGCCTGGAACTCCTGCCTCAGATTCCCTAGTAACTCGGATTACAGGCCTGGGTTGTGTGTGTGTGTGTGTGTGTGTGTGTGTGTGTGTGTGTGTGTGTGTTTCACTATGTAGCACAAGATTGTCTGGAACTAAGCCTCCAGAGTGCTAAGATCACAATTGTGGGTCACTGTGTCAGGCTTCCATTTGAGTCTTAGTGATAATCCACCCTAGCATTAGTGGAATATGTCCTCTTTAGATTTGTTGGGTTGTTCCTTTTTTCCTTTTTTTTTTTTTTTTTTTTTTTTTTGAGACAGGGTTTCTCTGTGTAGCTTTGGAGCCTATCCTGGTACTCGCTCTGGAGACCAGGCTGGCCTGGAACTCACAGAGATCCATCAGCCTCTGCCTCCCGAGTGCTGGGATTAAAGGCGTGCGCCCGCCCCTGCTTAGTTTGATTTGTTCACATTTTATTTAGGCTTTTGCTTCGTGGTTTGGACTGATTTATGAACTATTTTCCTCTTCCTGATACTGTCTGGCTTTGGTTTCAAGAAATGGAAGGAGAATGTTCTCTTTTCAGTTTTTTACACAGTTAACACAACATGAGAATCCTTTGTTCTTCCAAGGTTTTCTTCTCTTTTCTAATCTCCAATATTAACATCGTGTGTGTGTGTGTGTGTGTGTGTGTGTGTGTGTGTACATGCACGTGCAGTGTCCTCAGAGGCCAGAAGAGGGCATCAGATCCCATTGATCTGAAGTTACAGGCTGTCTTGAGAAGCTTAAACTAGATGCTAGGAACCAAACTTGGTCCTCTGCAATAGCGGTAAGTACTCTTAACCAATGAACCAGCCCCATTTATCTGTCTATTATTTTTCCCTCCTCACTTTCTCTGTTTGTCTTTCTGTCTTGAGATGGAATTAAAGGTATGTACTACCACCACTCAACTTAAAAATTTAAATATTTTAGGTGCTCTAAAAGTTAATTTATTCCAGGCACTTGTGGTGTTATATTATTTATGATTTATTAAAGTCTGCCTGAGGATTCAGAAACCGAAGTCAGCCACAAGCTTTAGAGGCCAGGTGGTAGTGATACATATCTTTAATCCCAGCAGCGGTAGATTTAGGAGGTGGTGGTACACACCTTTAAACCCAGGACTCAGTATTAAGAGGTAGACGGATCTCTGTTGAGCTTGAAGCTTGATCCCCAATATCTGTCTCTGGGTCTTTTATTTATTGTGCTACAGGCAGTGGTGGCTCACACATTTAATCCCAGCACTCTTCGTGTTCAAGGCCAACCTGGTCTACAGAGCAGGTTCTTTCTGTCTTGAAAAACCAAAAAAGAGAAAATAGGCTGATAATTGTTAAGGAAGTTGAAGTGTTACTTAGACTCCCTTGTCAAAACAAAACAAGGCTCTCGGTTCACTCCTAAATATTAACAAAGTACGAGTATGTGCGGGCTGTGGGGAAAGAAGCGGGACAGGAGAGGGAGGCAGATAGGGAGGAGAGATAGATGGATGGAAAGATAGGGATGCACTATCGCTGTCTTGGCAGCTGGAGAAGCGAGTTCAACTCTGCTCTGCTTAGTACAATGGCGGTGCCTGGTATACAGAGGCACTTAAAGAGCAGAGGCAATTACCATTATTAATCCAGTTAATTAAAAAAATAATCTCCCAGCCCCTGCTAATGTTTTACATGGGATATTGATATTTTGTTTACGCAGGTACTGCTACAATTTCATTTTGTAACTAAAAAAGTTTTTTGAAAAGGGTTTTGAGAAATTAACTGACTGTCCAGTGTCACAGAGCTTTTCTTTTCAGCCCAGGATACAACGGAGCGAGACAGAGGTCAATGTTTGAGAAGCAAGCAGTGCACCAACACGCGCGGACTCGTGGGAGCACAGCAGGCGAGCAACTCAGTGTGCCCAGTAGCTTACACGCTGGGTTGCCAGCCGGCTCCTTTTTGTTCCAGCACCGACCGGAAGTGTTTCTGACGGTCGCGTTTCTACAACGCACAGCCGGAAGTTTCTGTTCGTGTGTTCGCAGAGCTAGATAAATTGAGGAGTGGGTGGCAGCTGGAGTTGCTAGGTGTGGATCCCGGGGCACGGTGGGGCAGGGAGTACGGTGCGACCTTGAGGGACACCCGCGCGGGGAGGCAGAGAACACAGGCAGAACCTAGACCTGGTTTGGACCTTTCTCCTCGCGGCCTGCCTCTTTATCCTGCCCTGGCCGGGAGCTGGAGTGACAGGGGCCCCGCCCCCCTGACGGCCGCAAGGTCTCTCCGCAGGTACTGACCCTTGACCTCGGGGTGCTCCCCCATCTCTCAGGCGTGATGGCTACGGGCGCGGATGTACGGGACATTCTAGAACTCGGTGGCCCAGAGGGAGATGCAGCTTCTGGGACCATCAGCAAGAAGGATATCATCAACCCGGACAAGGTAGCTGGGGGACTTGAGAGCGCTGGAGGGGGTGGGGTGGGGTGAAGGTGGTGGCGAAGGAACGGGAAGGGGCGACAGCCCAAGAGGGGTGGCGAAGGGGCAATTCCACCGTCATGAAATGTGTGATAAAAGAAGTGCTGCCGTGGGACGAAAAGGATGCCGTCCTTAATGTGATGAGGGAGATAGGACACTGGGAGGAGGTGGGGACCAAGAGAGTCGGAAACCTCCAAGAGACGAGAAGACCCAAACAGTGTGGCACTTGTAAGTTGATGGGAAGAGAGACCAAGACATTGTGACAGTCTTGAGGTGAGGGAAGGATTTTCTTCCCGGACAGGTCAGGGCACTATTTAGATGAGATGGGAGAGGGGTGACTTGCTCACACAGGGTAGTGATACTCCCGTGAGTGGGTCACTGTGACTTTTAATTCAGCATTTGTTTGTCCAGAGTTTGTGCTGGGTAAAAGTTTTCAGGTAAGGAGGTCGTCTAGGCTGTCGCTTCTTCCCTGTGGTTTTCTTTCCAGAAAAAGTCCAAGAAATCCTCGGAGACACTGACCTTCAAGAGGCCTGAAGGCATGCATCGGGAGGTCTATGCCCTGCTTTACTCTGACAAGAAGCAAGTATCGGGGTTCCAAGTCCCCTGTGCGTTACCCTAGCTCCCATGGTATATCCCCACTTCCGTTTTCTCTCCCACTTCTTTCCCCAGCTCTCAGCCCCAGCCAAGGCTCCTCCTGCAGGGCAGCTCAGTTTGCTCCAAGACGTGACTTATTCAGGGGTGGACGGAACTTCTTAGAGGTTCTTCATACACCTGATTCTAACCTTTCACCTTCCTAACCTCCTCCCCTGCCAGGGATGCACCCCCACTACTGCCCAGTGATACTGGTCAGGGGTATCGCACAGTAAAGGCTAAATTGGGATCCAAGAAGGTTCGGCCTTGGAAATGGATGCCATTTACCAACCCAGCTCGAAAGGATGGCGCTATGTTTTTCCACTGGCGACGAGCAGCAGAGGAGGGCAAGGACTACCCTTTTGCCAGGTTCAATAAGGTGAGCTGCTGACAGATACAAGCCAAGCCCATCTGAGCCACTTGCATGGATTTTCCAGTCTCCCAGGGTTGGCTCTAGAACATGTTCAGTTCTAGCCATGTTTACCTGCTTAATCCCTTTGGATTCTTGTCTTCCCTGGATCTACTGTGGGTCTTAGTGACTTCCCTTGGCCCTTCAGATGTCACTGCTCCTCAGAGCTGTGTCCTCGGTGCTTTTTTCCTCTGCATGTCTTCTTTGCTCTTCTCATTTAGCCCCGTAGCTTCAGTTACTCTTTTCAAGCTAATGACTCCATCCCGAAAGTTCTGATTTACCTGCACCCCTTTCTGAGTGTCCCACGGGTAACTCACATCAGTGGTACCCTCCAACAGAACTTGCAATTCTTCCTCTATTCCTACTCAGTGAGAGGCACCAGTTCTACACAGTTGCCTACATTACAAACTTGACAGCCTTATCGCTTACCTCAGGAGAAACTTAGCCTTATCGCTTAGCTGGAGAAAGGCAGTGGGGAGAGGATGGCACACACATAAAGAAATCAGTTGAGAGAATTCTTTCAGATAAGTGCTGCCAATGTGCTGAAACTACAATTTGAATGGACACAAAGCAAAATAAATGGTGCACTTATAGGTTCAGGAGAGGCCTACTTTTTATTATTTATTTGTTTATTTTTGTGTGTGCATGCACATGCTAGCCTGCAGAAGCTTTTTCTCTGCTTTAATCACATGGGCCCAAGGAGTTAAACTCATGTTGTCTGGCCTTCTGACCACCTTGCCAGCCCCAAGGCCTACCTCAGACAGGCTGGTCAGGGAGGGCCTCTCTGAGAGAGTGGCATTTGAACCAGATCTTGTGATGTGTCTCATCATTGAGGTCTGCTAATTCTGTTTCTACTCCCAGTTACACCTCTGCCTGTGCTCTTCATCCCTTGTGCTAGCACCCAAAACCAAGATCAGTTGGTTTTTTGTGTTGTTTTTTTTGTTGTTGTTGTTGTTGTTTTTTTTTTTTTTTTTGGTCTAGATAATTGAGACATATCTTTTCAAGTCTCACCCAGCCACTGAGAGGAAGGGCTAGAGTAGGCTAGGATTGGGTAGCCCATGGCTAAGGCACTGTATAGTGTGGCTCACAACAGTCTAGAATTAGAGCTTAAAATAACAAGGGGTGCTGGGCGGTGGCGGCGGTGGCCACCTTTAATCCCAGCGCTTGGGAGACAGAGGCAAGGGGATCTCTGTGAGTTCGAGACCATCCTAGTCTACTAGAGCGAGTTCTAGGACAGGTTCCAAAGCTACACAGAGAAATCCTGTCTTGAAAACACCAAAAAAACAAAACAACATCAGCAACAAGGGGCTCAAAGTCAGACTCTTCTCAGCCCAGTGTATCTCATTGTACCTGGGCCCTTCTCCTGGGTGGCTTATAGGCTTTCTCAGACTGAGCACAACAAAGTGTGACTCTGTTACCCTCACCCCAAACCAGAGTTTCTTCCATCCCACCATCATTCTTTTGACCCTTCGGCCCAATGCGTAGAGAAGCAGGAGACAGAAGCTCAGTGAGAAGGGGTGGTATTTGAGGAAAGGGCTGGATGAAGCAGACTGATGTTAAGAGAAAACTTAATTTTTACTGCTCCAGAATGTTGAAGCCTAGACATTGAAAATAAAAACAAATCAGACAATGTGTCTGTCTTTAAAAAACTTCATGTTGTTGAGAGGTAGAGGAAGATGGAGACAATTACAGTCTGGTAGGACACAAGGTATTGGAAGGGCTGGAGGTTATGGGAGTTTTCTTGATGATGTCACTA